AACGGAAAAAGAGGAAGAATGGCTCGTCATGCTGAGGGGTAACGGCCTGTTTTACAGATAAAAGGTTCATACCCAGTTCTGTTTTGTTTTTTCAGATCAATGATCTAAGCATTTTTTACATTCTTTCAAATGTTTCCTTTATTTTAAGATCAAGTTTCTGCTTTTTTACTTTATGAACTAAGTTAGATTACACATTTATTTACCTTATCCTTAAGCAGTTTTGGGTGTGGCCTGGAAGCAAAGAAGCATAAATTAACCCAGGGAACACAGAGACGGGTCCCCGTGGTAAATCTGCATCCATCAGCCACGATCTTCTATAAAGTGCAATTTATTCACTGATTTTCTTCATATCTTTCCTGCTTGTCTTTATTTCTTGTATCTGACTTTATTACCATTTGCCATCATTTTCCACATCTTTCTTCCTGTCTTAGTTTAGGCTGCTAAATAACAAGATCCCTGGACTGGCTGCTTTAAAGAACATTTTTCTTACAGTTGAATGAAAACAAGTGTCCACAGCGAAGGTGCTGACAGATCTAGGGTTTGATGAGGGCCCCTTTCCTGGTCTATAGAGGGCCCTGCTCTAACTTAACATGGTGAAAAAGCCAGCTCTGCCAAACTCTTCTTACATGGAGGGTGTTACAGAATCTAATCCCATCCTGGGACCAGCCCTGTCGCCTCCTTTAAACGGAGTCACCTCCCACGGCCCCTGGACTCCTAACACAGCCCATAGGAGTTAAGGCTGCCACATGATGTGGGGAAATCACAGATGCACTGAGCACAGCACAGTCCATTCGGAAGGAAGGTTTTAATTTTTTGCCTGCTTGAACATTCTCCTGATTGTATCTTGATTATGACAAGACAGGTACAACTCATCAATATGAATTTTAAAATATAAGCAAATAAGTTCCAGCCAAACTCTGAACAGTTTTGTCATTGTTGTTTCTCATGGGATTTGAATCTATATTTTCAAATTAATCAGACCATAATTTCTTTTTTACTATTTTTGGCCATTCTTTGAATACTCTAAAGTATGAAAGGAATAACTGCCAAATATGAAGCTTCTATTTATCTTTTAAAGATAATGTTAAAATCTCAATTTTTATTATTGTTTTGCTTTTTAAATATTTCAGGAAAAATATATATTTTCCAATGGGAAAAATTATACCGCATATTTCTTACCCTCTATGATTCTGTACCCAGATAGATCCTTGATAAACCTAGAATAATTGGAGATTTATAGAAATACAAGGCTTTTATCAGCTATAGAAGCTAATGTGAAACCATGAAATGATAAATGAAAGATATCAAAGTGCATTATAGTACAAAAAATACAATTACTATGAAAAACTATAATAACTAAAACAGTCTTAAGATATTTTGTTTGGAAAGTCGGTACATATTCAGTGGTAAATTTATAAATTTTACTTCTAAAATATGCCATTAGGAGTTTAAAGAGCTACAAAGAATATAGGTTTAATTTTACTATGTGGCAAATGTTGACCTTTAAAAATCTAACTAATCCTATTTTTAAGGTGTATAACAGAATCTGGATTCCATGATGATTAGAGATTTCCAACACCTATTTTACAAATGCACAAACCAACTCTTCTTAGCATTCAGCAAAGTTAGATCACTCCTTTATATTTTTGAAATTATATTTATACCCCACTCATCTGACAGAATTTTATTTCTTCTGGGTGGACCCAGCATTGTAGTTATTGATGGTTGCTATAGTTTAAATATGGGTTTTCCCTCAAAGATTAAAATTTTGGTCTTCAGAAGAGAGTGCTGTGGAATTTTAATAGGTGTGGTCCAGGAGTGGTCTTATGTCATAAAGGTCACAAAGGGTGTGGTCTTATAAAGGGGATTGGGGGACCTGGGTTAAGTGATTTGCTCTGCTACACGCTCCTACCATGATGTGCCATCTTCTTTAAAAGCCCAAAGCAAGCTGGGGATTTAGCTCAGTGGCATAAGTGCCTGCCTTACAAGCAGGCAGTCATGAGTTCGATCCCCAGTACCAATAAAAAAGAAAAAGACAAAAAAAAAAAAAAAAAGCCCAAAGCAAAGCTAGCACTAATGTTGGGTTGAAAAGTCTAGAACTACAAACTACAATGAAATTTTTTTCTAAATAACTGCCTCAAGCATTTTATTATAGTAACAAACTAACTAAAGCAATAGTACATAGTTGATAGTCTTCATAAGATTTTATTGGAGATGCATATTTAATGAGATGGATGGTGGTTTCTCAATTTTTTCATCACTTTGTGAATTGCTATTACATAATTGTGAAATAAGAGGTTACCGGAGCTTCACTGTTTGGTGGCGCTGAGTCTGAAGGGTAGAGGAGAGACTTCAGGCCACAGCGCGAGGAGTCCCTTTCCTGCAGCTGACTCTGCTTTGAGCCAAGAGGAAGAACAGCTGCAGTTTTACTGGTCTTCAGCTCCTCTGCATGAGCTCATTGGCATTTTCTGTGAAACATTTTTGCATATCTAATTGTTTATTTCTTCCTGTAATTTGCCTCTTCCTAGAATTTGCTGGTGCATTTATTTTATCCTGCTGTACTCTGTGTATTTGGTGAGGCTGCTTGAATTCTTCTGGAACAAGGTAGGGCATAAATAAATAAAAGTACTGCCTCCAGAGCTGCCTCTTCCCCTAGCAGACTTCCGGCCCGGAGCCTATGGGGATGCTACTTAATAAATTACTGATTGCATGTATCCTAAAGGTAATGGAGCTCCAAAGGTGCAGAATAAACCACCAGAGAGTTGTTTAAGCCCTAGGAAAATCTGGCCCGATACATTATTCCAGATCTATATTTATGTTCATGGCTTACAAACCACCCCAGGGCCTTTTGGGATAAGAAAACCAGCATGAATCTAAGAAAATATTATTAAATAGATTTATTTTGGGTTTCAAAAGAGTGTATGATCCTCTGGAGAAGCACTGGAGGAGAATGAATTATCTTCTGCAATCTCCAACACTTGTCTTTTTAAGAGTCTCTCATTGAACCCCTGGTGCCCACCCTAACAGTTCCAACTACTCCTGTTGCTATAGTTACAACAATTAATTATATGCTTAACTAGCCTTACTAGTACATTGCAGCTATTCAATTAAAATCTGATTTTATTCTTCCCATACTGTCAGGGCTTTTTTCAGCCTCCAGCTCTGAAAACTGCCCATAATGTGAATTGAAACAGTACCAGAAGTTGTTCAGTGCATGTCCCGATGGCACATTTGTCTAAAACTTGATGGGACGGGGCACCATTGCCTTGACACAGACTTTAATACAAGAGCCAGAACAATTGGGAGACTGAATTTAACAGCTGAGCAAATGACTGCAGGATGATATGAAGAGTTTTTTCCCCCTTCTTATTTTAATAATATACTTAAATTGGACTGGGCAGATACAGAATTCCTAAATTAATGCCTATGGCTGACCACTGTTTTAACATCTAGAGACCCTCAGTGTCCCCTGCAGCTCTGACAGGATAAGAAGCCCCTGGAGGTCAGGTGGGCATGTCAAAGTTCAGAGAATTTTGGTCTCTCGCTAAGTGCTGGAAACGTTTTAGTTGGAAATATTTCTTTATTACCTCTTCTGGTGGCTATCAGTGTCAGTGTGAAAACCCAACACTTTCACTCACTCAGATGGATGCAAAGCTTGCAAGACATCCTGTCAACTCTGCATCAGTTTTGAGGACAGAGTTGTTTGATAAAACCCATTCCAATAAAGTTGAAAAGTTACCAAAGACATCCTATCAATGTGACTAACACTATGCTTTTCTGATCTGCATTCTTATCTTTAATCATTCTACCTCTTGTGACAGTCAAAACTGAAAAATTTCCACCCCGAGGTACTGTACTGAGTGATCACCACCTTACTTGACTTTTGCAGCTGTGGAAACTGAGGCTCTTAACACTAAAAAACTCCTCCAAGAGTACTAAGTTAATGGCAAAACCAGCACTGCAACATTACTGCCTCTTTCCCCTGCCTTGAGCTTTTCCTCTTTTGATTCCTTTTAACACCTTTTAACCTGATCTTCTTTCTTGAGTGATCTCATGAACACTCAAGCTTCAGTCTCCGCTTCTCTGAGGGACTTTCCAGTCCCAGGCCTGACTTCTCTGCATCTGTCTGTAATACTTGTCCTCACTTCAACCCTGTTATAGGATGTGTTCAAAGCAGAGCCGTCACCTCCTCTTCCTGTGTATGCTCTATGAATCCATCTGTCTGACCACTCTCTCTATGCAACCCACTTTTCTTCCTGTCACAGAGCCCTGAAATCTCAGAAGCCTCTTTGATCTTCAACTTTCATCTTCCTCAAATTCCTATAAGCAATCACTCACTAAAGTTTAGCCCTTACGTTGGTTTATTCTCACAGCTTCTGTTGGTCATCTCCTCACTGTGTACTACACAGGCTGCTGGATCCAGCACTGAATGCAATGGAAAAACCAGTCCTTTTCTTTGACAAGAAACTGCAGTGCATAAAGCTTCCTGGACAGCTTGCCACCCTGATCCTATCATCGTCTGTCCCTTCTCATCCCTTCCGGTCATGCAGAGATTCTGTGCCACCTTCAGTAGGCTCCACATCTTCTGTTCACTAGAACTGGACCTCATTCTCTGACCTATTCTTGCATTCCATTTCCCCAGTGAACGAATCTTTCTATCGAGGGCATCTACAACGTCCTTCAGAGATACATCCTTTTTCTTATACAAAGTCAGTACATTATAGACACTTAATATATTTAATCTGAAAATTAAAATAGGTTTTTAAATGAGCTATTTTTTAGATATTCCTCAACTGAATTTCCCAAAATGTGTGTGTGTGTGTGTGTGTGTGTGTGTGTGTGTGTGTAAAGTTAGATGAGAGAGGGCAACAAGACATACAAACACACGCTGAAGCAGACTGACTGTGTTTTATGCTGTATTTGCATTTTCCCAATAGTTGACAAAATATTCATTGTCTTGTATCTACAAGGCATTGCATTAGGTATAAAGTATTACTTACCCTCTAAACAAATATTCATCAAGTGAGTCAATGAATGGATAAGAGAATTAATTAATCCTCTTGTTTATTTACTCATCTTGGGGATCATGGTAGGATCTGAGAAGAAAGTGATATTTTTATTATTCATGTGTCCCATAAATATTAAGTGACTATTTCTTATGTGCTGGGCACCATGATGGATGCTGAGGACATACACGTGAAGAGTACAACGGACAATGATTCTCTTCTAAAGGACCTCAGCCTCTGATGGTGAGGGCAGGAGGTGTTGGGCATGAAAAGTCCATGAGCTACTCAGTCCCACCGAGCCTGGAGCTTTTGCAGAGTGTTGGTGGCTCTGCCAGAGGCAGGAAGAGCCCCAACATGAAGGATCTATGAGATGCTTCTCTCTGGGTCCTCCTGGAGCCTGCTGACTCCACAGTGGCCTTCCCTTCACTCATTTCTGACATTGTGACTTTCTGATTCCCTAAAAGGATGACCGCCCTTCCCCTTGTGCCTTAGCAATGAGGCACTTCTAGCACTCAGTGGAGCGCCCTCATGTATCAAACTCTATCCAGAGAGGAGACAAGAGCAGTTTATTCCATCCCGTGTTTGCTCAGGATCTAAAGGGCCATCTTTAGGAAAGACAAATATTTGCCCAGGAAAAATCTGTGACACTGGTGACATTCCTGGTATGGTCCTCTGGTATTGCAGGTTTCAGAGAGACTCCAGAATCCCATATTCAATTTGCAGTAGTTGATGAGTTTATGAGAAGAGGTTTAATCTCACCAACTCCCCTAGGAAAAAATAAAATGTGAAAAAAATATTCCAGTGATTTCTTATGCATCACTGTTAGTGCTGCTGCTGTCTCGAGGCTGTTTATCTAGGTCAAAATTGCTCAGACAGGAGGATGTCTGAGGTAAATTTGTGCTCTTATCTCCGAGGACAGCAACTGGGGAACATGCATAGGATCACACACAACCTATAGTGCCTCTCACCTCTACCTTGCTGCTTTGGAGAAATTGTCTCCCTGGGACCCTGGCAGTATCTCAGTGGGGGCACACATCCTAAAACTGCTTTAGGCTCAGGTCTGAAGGGGAGCTACTCCTGGAAATTCCTGAAGATCCTGCAGGGCAGACAGGGATGTCCTCTTATAGCAGGCCCAACTAGTGTCTCTAGTGGCCCGGAATGCCCCTGGAGCTAAACAATGAGCTTAAATTTGAAAACCCCTGTTCCCCAGTTATTCTCTGTTCTCTAGGGTATACAGCACAATCCAAGCTCTTCTTTATTCCCAGGACCTCAGACATCAAGTCCCTTTGCCTGTCACAGACCCCAGAAGCAGGAATGACCTCCAGCTCGAGTCCCTTTTCCTGAGCTGTCTTGAGTCAGGTGTCACTGAGCCCAGCTACCCGCCTCCTCCCCTCTCTCGCTCTCTGAATCATGATTTCTTTCTCAGGAGGCTTCCTGGCTCCGCATGTAATTAAACTCTGAGTGTTCCACCTCCTCTTTCACCACTTTTGTTGAATCTCTGGATAAACACATTTCTATGATTACAAGCAGTTTAAGCAAAACACTGCAGTGTGATGATTTCAGGGAATTTGTTTATTCATCTTTGTTGGGAAAGAGCTACTTCTATGAGTTTTGCTGCTATGAGTTTCACATTCAGCTTGGCTTTTTCTCAAAGATGTGGGCCAGAGATAGGCACTAAAATTAAAGGTAAAAATTTAGCTCACTTAAAGGATATTCAGTATAAGGGGTTAAAACTGTCATATGTCTTCTTCAAAGAACTTGCTATGAAAGAATATGGAAATATACTAGAAAAAATATATTGCTATGGAAATATACTAGGAAAAAATATTTGCTTTGTCATAAATTGTTCTAAGTCTCAAATCACCAAGAACAGTGTACTTAACAGAAGATGCCTGTGATACAGGCTGAGTGTCTCCCATCAAAATCTGTATGTTGAATTCCTCAGCTGTGTTGTGATGGTGTCAGAAAGCGGAGACTCTGGGAAGTATTAGGTCATAAGAGTACAGGCTTCAACATTAGGATCATTGTCCTTATAAAAAAGGCCCAAGGGCATGGCCTTGTTCCTTTTGCCCTGGAAGGACACAGGATAGCATCCACGAACTGGGAAAGGAGCATCCTGCTTCCAACCAATAAGAAATAAAGTTTTATTATTTTTATTCATCACCCAATCTATAATATTTTTGTAGCACAGCACAAATGGAGTAAGACATCATGTGAAATTTGTATCTCAATCTTTATTTCAAAAATTACATCCCAGATGCATTTCATCTGGAGTTAAAAGAATAGTATCTGCCATCCTTCACCCAGTACTAACTGCTTCTTAAACCTCATCAGGGGTGGCGATAATGCTTCCCCAACAGGAATGAATCTGATGCTAATCATATATATCAGTGGCTCTTATAGCTGCTTCACAGAAGCAAGGAGAGCTTTGCAAATTAGTTGCTTCCCATTTGGGAAAGGTATGGGATGGGCTGGCATCACAGACATCACTGAAACTCACACAGTGTTTTTAGGATTGTTAATTAACCTAGCAGTCCTGTTTTATCATTTCATCAGAGGATGGTTTGGGGCTAGAGCCATCCTGAGGTGAGGACTTCTGACTCAGCTGATTAAAACTGGGCTTGTCAGATAATTACAAAGGTCAAATAAAAACAGTGTCTAATGTTACTCCTAAAGGTAAAATTGTCACAAAAGTTTCTAAGAGATATTCCAGTCCTTGGAGATAAGAGCTAGGAATTGATAGAATTTAGGTTCTTGGAAGAGCTTGTCATTGTAGATGAAAATTTCTTTCTTTATGAAAATAGAAATAAAAATACTTCTCTCAAAGCAAGGGAAAAACTAATGTATGTAAAGGATAATGCCCAACTGATTGTAGGTGTATAATAAACTTTCATTTACTCAAATCTGTACATTTACTAGAAAATTGCTTCTTTGGGAGGGCCAAGAATCAACTTCTAAACTGACTCTGCATTTTTCACTCTGCAGATAATGCTAAGTAGGCTGCTTTCAGCTAAAGTGGGGCTCACATGTGTGAGTGTAGCAGACGGAATGCGGCAGATACAATAGTGATCCAGATTCATGTAGGTCACAAAACCTGAAGGGAGTCCAGTAAGGACATGTGAAATGTTAGCTGTATTCATTTATGGCACTAACATTTATTTAGCACCTATGTATGGGCAGAGTTCAATACAAACAATATATAGAGAGTGACACAAATCTCCTTTCTCTGTTCTTCAGATAGCTTACACGGCAGTAGAGCAAACAGATATGGAGACTAAATAGATGGCCAGGACTGTGATGCTGAGTGATCTGGCTGCTATGGTGACACAGGTGTCCTTGCTCCTAACTCTAGGAAATCCTCAATCAGCGAACCCACTTCTCACTAAGGTAAACCACCCAGAGGCAGAGCAAAAGGTGACTGGACAGGGCACCAGCAGTATGGCATTTGCAGGAAACACTAGATATTTTATTCTGTCATAATCCCAGTCTTCAGGGAAATAGTGGCTCCCTTCCTCAAGTCCAAGTAGGCATCATGGAAGTGTATAACTCTAATCAATCACCCAACATTACTAATTATAGAGATTGCTAGAAAGAAACAGCACACAACCTCTTCCCTGGGAAGGCTAAACTATTCCTTTGTCAGACAGAGCATCTCCCTGATTATGTCTTCTCTTCGCTCCTGGTCATCACCCTTCAACTCCAATATGACCTAGTTTGGCCACTGACTTGAGCACTCCTGAGTGGTCAGGAACCACTAAAGATCATAGACAATTGAAGAATCAGTGTGCAGTTCTTCCTGAGATGACAGGCCACACACAGCAGAAAGGAGTGGCAGCCTGGGATTTGAGCACTGCTGAAGGTCTTGTTAGTCTTTGAATGGAAAGATGAGTGACCTTCTCAAGCCCCCTCTTACGCACTCCATAAATACTTGGTGAGATTACTACACACCAAGCATACACAGTACTAGGTGCTGAGTTACACTGGTGAGTTAAAGCAGACCAGGAACCTGGCTCACTGAGTTTATAGATCTGAAAAAAATTGAACCAGAAATCAAGTGAAACAAGAAAGACTGGTTCTGCATAGGGAAGACACAGAATGCCATAAGATGGAGATTCCACTTGGCTGGTGGAGAGGAGGAGTGTCCCTTACCTAAGCTAATGAAGACAGCAAGAAAACAGGAAGAAAAGAAGGCTTGGATGGAGAAAGCGTGGTTTATGCAAGAAGTAGAAAGGACCCAGCAGAACTTTAGTACAGATAACAGCAGGGAAGGAGAGATGGTGCCAGCTGAGGCTGCACAGGTCAGGAAATCTGTGGTGGGACCTTCAAGGACTTCACACCAAGCCAAACACAATTTGAGAATTCAACTCACTGGTTTTAGAAATACTAATCATTGTGCCTCAGGCTTCTTATAAACTTTTTATTTTGTTATAACGAAGATCCAAATATATCTCTAAGTATTTAGAGACATGTGAACATGTATTTCTTTAAAAGTTCATTTGTTTATGTACAACTTGTAGATTAACAAATGTTTTTTATGGCTTAGATAACTGCACATATCTCAATATAATTATATTATGTAAAACCCATATTTTTCTTTTGTGTTGAAGTCAATATTATGATTTACATAAAATTTTGATTTCTTACCATCAACATTTTATTTTCATGCTTATATTGTTATAATTTTTAATTTGGTGGTAATTTTACTATAATTTATATCAAAAATATACCATATTGCTGTGAGCTTCTGATTGTGACATATCAGATGGACTATGCCTTGTCTAATAAAGGATATCATGAACTATAAAGTAAATATGTATACATATGAATACAGATACACATATACATATATACAGGTATATATACAGATATATATATAAGAAAAAATATATATATGTGTGTGTGAAATAACAAAAACCGATCTTCTCTAACATTTCTCCTATTTCTCCCAATGGCAACATGTTGTAAAAGTATAATAGGTGATCAGAACCCAGGTATGACAGTGATATAATCAAGATACACAGCATTTGTACCAGACAGGGGTCTCCTATGCTGCCCTTTCATAACCATATCCACTTTTGTCCAGACCCAAA